AGCAACATCACATTGGTATTTAGTACTAATCACGTATGCATTTTAAGCTTCACATGGGAGCCAGGGCATGAAAAAACAACCGCCCGAAAACACCAGCCTAGGAAATGCAGTGGATGTTCAGTACCATGCATTGCAAGATGCTGTGGGATTTTCAGTACCATGCATTGCAAGATGCTGTGGATTTTCAGTACCATGCATTGCAAGATGCTGCAAGGTGTTGACTGCGGCTTGTTGTCCGGTGGCTGCTGTTCCTGGTGGTCCATGGCTCAGGGGTACATTGCCTCCTTGAGCTGATGCACCACCAGCTGCTGCACCACCGGATAGTATGCCAGGATGGGAGTGAGCTACGCGACACAGAACAGGCACGCACACACACGCAGGCACAGCTCGTGTTGAACTTCAATGACATCACCACCATGCAGACATGTTCTGTTCAGTCATATACACAAGTCAGAACCTTTTTTGGGACGGAGCTAAAAATCTTTGGCTACTGCTGCTACCGTAAAGTACCGTTGTTGCCCCCCCCCCCCCCCCTCCACGCCATGTTGCTTCCTAGCTGGGTTTTCGGCAGGGGACGGGAATTAGATGAAGACTGCCAAGTGCAGTACGACATACAACTTCACATCACGTGACATGGTTCAAAAGGATACTGTGGCAAACAGTGCACAGTGACTACAAGAAAGTTGAACCCAAAGCAGGGATGCGCACAAACCTGCGTCTATCATGCATATGGCGCAACAAATGTGTACGGGTTCGTCATGTGATATGAAGTTCTGCCGTCGCAGACCCCATAGCTAGTTGTACACACTTTTATGTAGTCTTGTTGCCACACAAGCACAGACACAAACATTCTCTCTCTCTCTCTCTCTCTCTCTCTCTCTCTCTCTCTCTCTCTCTCTCTCTCTCTCTCTCTCTCTCTCTCTCTCTCTCTCTCTGCCTCTCTCTGCCTCTCTCTGCCTCTCTCTGCCTCTCTCTGCCTCTCTCTGCCTCTCTCTGCCTCTCTCTGCCTCTCTCTGCCTCTCTCTGCCTCTCTCTCTCTCTCTCTCTCTCTCTCTCTCTCTCTCTCTCTCTCTCTCTCTCTCTCTCTCTCTCTCTCTGTGTATGTCTCTCTCTGTCTCTGTCTGTCTGTCTCCGTCTGTCTGTCTGTCTCTCTCTCTCTCCCTCTGTCAAACAATGCACACAACTAACGGCCCGGTGCCCGAGAGCCTTGCTGTTGACGTCGCTGCAGTGTCAACACCACCCTGCTAAGTGCCATGATATATTCATCCTGTGCAACAACGACAACGACGACAACAACAGCAGCAGCAGCAGCAACAACAACAACAACAACAACAACAACAACAACAACAACAACAACAACAACAACAACAACAACAACAACAACACCAACACCAACACCAACACCAACACCAACACCAACACCAACACCAACACCAACACCAACAACAACAACAACAACAACAACAACAACAACAACAACAACAACAACAACAACAACAACAACAACAACAACAACAACAACAACAACAACAACAACAACAACAACAACAAATCTCTTATCGGTCACAGGCCATCGTGAGAATACAGATTTGAAACGACAACCGGCGAGGAGACACAAATTGTAATATCGATAAAAAGAGAGTGCACGCAGTCATACCATGACACCAGAACGACAACATGCGTGTATGTGAGCGTATGCACGCGTGCGCATGTGTGTGTGTGTGTGTGTGTGTGTGTGTGTGTGTGTGCATGACTTCGTGCACGTGTGTTCGTACATTCGGGTGCATTTACCTTCGTATTCGATCTCTCGAAAATACTTTTCTCCAGTTCCACACTTGTACCGGGATCATGTCCAGCTTTGAGGAGCTCTTCGTGGCTATCAACAGAGAACACCAGTAGCAACAACAACAGTCACAGCAGTAACAGCAGCATCAGAATTAGCCTTGGCAACCAGGCGCGTGCGCCGGTGCCCTTCAGGGGGGTTCCGGGGGGCCTCCCTGTGAAAAATTTCAAAAATAAGCAAAATCCCGCATTTAGCGCGAAAGGGGGGTTCCAGGCACCCAGGAACCCATACGGGGCACGCGCCTGGCAACAGCAGCCCGGCATCACTAGCGAATGAGTGCAAATTTCAAATTACTAACGGACGTTCAGTGGGTGGTAAACGAGGCACACATCTACTTCGAAGTATATTCGGAGAAACGTGTGCTGATAAGCTTCATGTCGCCTTTCCAGACGAGTTGTGAACTCAATATTGAGAGAATTACTACACGCATCCGGAACGTATTTCAAGAGACAGAAGAAATCGACGTGCCTGAATTTATGAGAATCATCAACAAGATCAACGTCAGCATCTACATTCGTTTGTCGGATATAGAACTCGTGGAGTCGCCCCCGATGAAACTGAAGGCCGTGCCCACAAGCATCAGGAAAGGTCAACGTCGAGATGAACACCATCAACGTGGCCGCAGATGGCACCTGCACATTGCGTGATCGCAGCTTTCGTGACGAGTCGAAGACCAAACGCATGCGTCATGAGGCCGACTATGATGATTTGGACCATGTCGTCACCATTGCAATGGAGAAGAGGAAGGTAGTGTGCATGAGCAGAAGCAGGACTTGGCGCAGACCAAGTTGTAACATTTTTAAGTCACGAAAAAAGTGAGCTGAAAATTTGAATATAGAGTTCAAAATCACGCAAATTTATGAGTTTTCATTCAGTGTTTTTCAATAATCCATCATATTCCAGAATCAAATAGGGCATACCCCTCCAACACCCGAAAAATCATTCTTACGCAAAAAACAGGGCGCCCGGTTTTTACCCCAAAAATGGGGTACTATCAATAATACCCCATTTTTCGGGCTGGGGCATGTGCCTGTCGTAGAACCGGCCCGACACATACTAAATCCTGCCATGCATAGCCTAGGTACATATACATGTGCATGACATGTTTTACTGCCATGTTCTAGCTCTGTATGAGCTCCAGCTTTTTCTTTTCTTTTCTTTTTGTTTCGCTCTTTTTTCCCTTTCTTTCACTTTTCTTTGTCCATATATTAAAGATTAGTTTCAAGTAGTCGCCATTCCATTGTTACGTAGATTCACTGATGAATGTAACAAGGAAACAGTTCTGAACAAATCCTCCCTTTCCCTTTTGTTGTGTGCCTTGCGATCGTCGTATAACATGTTACACATACATGTCGACATATAGAAAGTGCTTACAGTACAATTAGTCCTCTTTGTAGCTATATTAAACTGCTGTCTCCGAAAAGCCTCATTAATTTTTGTCTTTGTTTTTTTGGCCGAACATTGGTCCGGCGGACCGCCTGCTACAGCCCTGGGCATGTGGTGGGCTTAGGAATGGTCCCATGTGTTCTATATGCGCTGGAGTACTGCCAATAAGCCTGCCTTATGCACGTTGTACAGATGCACGAAATCCCGTAGAATCTCGTAGACCCGGTTGGGTGTTGAATATGCAGGACTCTATTGTGTTTACTACTATTTCCACTATGAAATGGGCCCTGAAGGAAATCATACGAAAACTTTTTCCGGCAGAGATCTAGCTAGTCGTTAGTTCAATCCCAAAGTGAAGAAGCTGGAAAAGCGATTGTTTGCCATGAATTATGAGGCTAAATGGGTCAAACGCGCATGTATAGCACACAATGAACACCCAACCGGGTATGTACACACCTACGGCCCTAGTACAGAACTTTGTACATCTGTACAACGTGCATAAGGACCATTATGTACCAGGTCACTGCCCTAAAGGCATGGCCTGGTACATAATTGGCAGTGCACCAGCATAAGTAGTACCAAGAGTACATAACCCCCCAAGAGTGTGCAACTCCCACATACCCTGCTGTCCCAACGGAATTTCAAGTTGATGTCATTATTTATGATGCAATGCTCCTTGCACCATGTGTACGGGTCCGGGTGTCAACGCATCACACGTTTCTCTTTTGCAATAATTTGTACAGGATCAGATACGCTTTGGTCCACCACAGGTTCCGGATTCGTCTGATAATCCGTGTAGAGTGCGCATTCCATCATAAAAATGACGTCAACTTGAAATTCTGTCGGGACAGCACCCATAGTCGAGTTGCACACTCTTGGGGGGGTATGTACTCTTGGTAGTACGCCTGCAGTCATTCCTAATGGCAAGGGTACACTGTACCCGGGCATTATCGATGAGAATTTGAAAAATTCTAAAACACTTGAAAACGTTTCTGTCATTCAGCAGCCGTTGAGGATGCAGTGTGACCAGACAGTCACCAAAATGGCGCTCAAAGCGCAAAGAGCGTTTCAGCTGGTTAGCCAAAACCTCATGCAGTGTGACCAGACAGTCACCAGAATGGCGCTCAAAGGGTAAAGAGCGTTTCAGCTGGTTAGCCAAAACCTCATGCAGTGTGAGCGTGACCAAAGGCGGAATTTTCCGCGCGTCTTCGCCTGAATGGCTGAAAAGTGTGCAGTGCGACCCCGGCCTTAATAATCACAGCACTGACGTCATCCCGTTATTATAAGGCTGTTACTTCTACCTTCTCGACAAAGCAATTTATACAATCAACTTCTCACATGTTTAGAGTATTTGGACAATGGCAGCATATAGGAACCTGGTTCCCTCAGGTACACATACGTTTATTTTGTTCTTAGAACTCCAGGTGCTAGAAACTCGATTTCCATCATCTCTTGGGACAATAGTTGAGCAGCAACGTGTGAAAATAGGACGGGGCGAGGTACAAACTCTAATTTCAAAATGGTACCAGCTCAAACCATCAGCACTAAACCCATTCCTCGTCCGTTCAACGCAGTAACTTGTGAATTCACAAGAAAAACCCCATCATGTACAGTACACCACCCGCAGGGATACATCACTCACATTCGCGTCAAAGGACGACGTCTCCATTCCTGTGAGCGCCAGTCCATTGCATCCTGGCCCCCAGCAGGCAACATTGCCTCTACGGTTCGAGAGTAACTATACCAAACGTGAAGAGCTCATCGACCAAAG